AGGACCCGAGCTTGAAGGATAAACCGCCCGCAGGGGCGTGCTGGTGTTATTGTGTAGTGTATGTATATATATATATGTATTTAGGGGTGCAACGATATTCTATTCGATATTGAACCGTTCGATACAGTGCTTTCGGTTCGGTACGCATATGTATCGAACAATACAACATTTTGTAATTTATTTTATCAATTTTCCTTCTGACGATGCTGTCTGTGTTGAGCGCTCAGTGAATCTGTGTTCGACTACTCCGCCTAGGCTGCACTGTCGAGCGCAGATCCACTGAGCGCTCAACACAGACAGCATAGTCAGAAGGAAGAGCGCAGGGCAAGCTAGCGAGACAGAAGTTAAGCTCTCCTTGCAGCAAATTGAACCTCATTCAGATCTGGCGTTTGGAATTATTTTGGTTTTCATGTGACGTATGACCCTGAAGGTAAGCGAGTCATGGACTAAAGTAAAACAGTATGTTGGATGTGCCATGCAATGCTCAATTACATTGGTGTGAACTAGTGTGTTAGCGCAGTTAGCTCGTTAACGTGTTGGCCGTCTAGCCCCATGCACGGAGCGATCGGCGGTAGCTCGCTAACGGAGATTTGCCGTGTTGTGGCGTTAAACATCACATCCATTTTTGTGGAGACTGATCACAGCTGCTCCATCACAGCTGGTTCACATAGAAATCAATCATCACATACATAATGAGAGAGTTTTTAAAGTCGCTTTGAGAAATGAGATTATATATGTTTGTCAGGACAAAAATACCCAGAAGCGGGCTTTTATCTTTAATAAACTGTAAATCTTTGTGAAAAAAATGAATGTTCCTAATTATTATCCTGTATTTTCTCCATTTATAACAAGAATCCAGAGATTTCTGGTCTGGAATTTTTTTACAGACAGTAAAAGCAGAGGTGATTCAGCGTAATGGATTATTTAGATGTAATGTGTCACCGGAGGCTCTATAATATGTAAAAAACAAAACGTATTATGTAATGATTTCTTTAAAGAACACGGAGCACATCGGGACCTAATGATACTGGAGTAAATTAATTTTAAACAAGCACACCTACACAGTCAGATACTGATTCACAACCTGTCTAGTTTACAGATAAGTGCGGGACAATTTGTTTACATGCATCTTCATATCCTGGATGCTAATGGCCTTTGTGTAAAAATGGACAAAAAACAGCCGAATATTGCCATGGAAACCATCCAGGAAACAGAAGGCAGTGCTGTGGAGCAGAGGGCAGCCTATTCCCATTAGCATACAACAGTGAGGCCAATAATAGGCTGCTGCAGACACAAGACTGTTTATACAACAGTGCATGATGTCCATACTGTGGACAGATGAGATTGCATAATGAAGCCACAGAGGATATACTCCACTCAGCATTCAGTTTTAATTCCCGAGTACAGCCTGCAATCGTTCAAAGCGGATGGCTCACGTTTGGTGTTCCGGTTCACAGGTTTGAGGTCAGCTCTCTTAAATCCAGGCAAGCTAGTCCACAGAGGAAAGCCTTTTCACTGTGGAGCATTTGTGATTATGTTTGTGTTTGATGCCCTTAAATGCTGTTTGTCACAGCTGGAATCACTCAGGCCACGTTGGTTCTTTGTCTCATAATAACCTCATTATTTTAGTTTTCCATTGGTGGTGGGCTTGTTTCACTGCATTCCCTCTTATTTAACCACTGTTTTTAGAAAAGGTCAAAACTGAGATCCCTGCACATATTTAAAGACTCCAAATGTAGACTTATTTCTGAACATGCCATTTCTCTACATATTCATGATAACGCTGCACATAATTATCTACAACAGTACTGCATCTGTTGCAGTCAGATCCTGTTTCCTGAGGGTTCCTGATGAACTGTTGAAAAATAGCTCCAGACTGAAAGATAATCTGTTCTACATGCAGGAGTGGCCAAAAGTTTTGGAAGTGGCACAAATGTTGTTTTTCATTCACTGCTGCTTCAGTTTTTCCACAAATATATTTTAAGCATTTTTCTCTGATACAATGAAGAACAACAATGAGCGTGGACTCCCAAGCCCGGGTAAATGGACAGGGTTGAGCCAGGAAGAGCATCTGGCATAAAATCTTGGCCAAATCAAATATGTGGATTATAAAGAATACTTTCCATACCAGATTGGTTGGAGGGCAGGTTAACAATGACCCCCTCCGGTACCGTTAGCCAACAGGGCAGTGATGGAAACTGTGCTACTGTCGGCCGAAGACAAAGAAAGAGGAAAGGGGAAAGGTGTTTAAGGAGGCAGTGAGGGAGATGGAAAGGCAGCAGTGTGAGAACAGTAAGTCTGAATTAAGAAAATATGCTTGGTAGAAGGAGACAAGGAAGTTGGAATTGCAATGTATCAGTATGCAGTGACAGAAAAGCAAGCACAGTAGACAGTCCTGGAGAAGGATCCTGGGATATGAAACTTTTATTGGCAGGTAAATCTAAATTGGTTTTTTTTTTTTTTGTTTTTTTAATGTAGTGGTGCCACTATAAAAACATTTGGTCATGACTATATAATTTATTTTTCTTTTTTTTTTACCTGTCCCATTTGGATCTTCAGCCATCAGAATTGTTGTCTGAAGGCCAAGAAAGATGGCAAGCAGATTTACTTTACCAAGTGGATCCTCATGGCCTTGCCATATTGGTCCATTTGATTGATCTTTATTATAATTATGTTTTTATTTGATTTGATTTTCGGTTGTTACAGACAGGACAGACATGACTGGGGGATAGGACAGGGAGAAAGAATGAAAGAAAGAGAGGGAGAGAAAGAAAAATAGAGGGGAGAAGAGATGGTGAGAAAGGGGGGAAGAAAAAAGAAAAACAAACAAAACACCTGGATCACCTGTATGGAGATAAAAAACAGAAAAAAAAACAAGAAAAGAGCAACATAATAAATACAACACCATCACAATAAACTAGCTAACAGTAGATAACAGTAGATACTAAATATTATATGTTATTGTGCAGTATGCAAGCTCGACAGCACACAATGTGCTTTGAGGTAGCAGCCAAGAAAGGTGTAGTTTGTGTCTGTGAACACCTGTGTGTACACCTGTGTGCACACATGTGTGGATCAGCACGCTTGTATTCAAAAGGTTTCTTCATGTAACAATCTGCTAGGGAGTGTGGGGAGCCATAGCCCCGTCCCCCAGGGCATGAAGCAGGTATGGAGGAGATCCAGGCCCCAGACATCCAGAGGCCCCAGAATATGAGGACCCAAGGAGGACCACCAGGGGGGCAACCGTGCCACCCTCCTGGGAAGAGCTGAGGAGAGCCCCAAACGAGAAGTCACCCAGCAGCCACGGAGCAGAGGCCAGAGGGGGTTGCAGTGACGTGCCCGCGGGCTCTGCCGGCAGCCAGCTGTGCCAGAGAGGACCGGGCTTCAGGCCCAGAGGCCAGAGGCCTGAGGGCATCCCCCCCCCCCCCCCCCCCCCCGGCCCCCCCCCCCCCTGGAAGGGGCCCAGCCGGGCCACAGGCGCTACGACTGTATAATTTCTAATAGGTCAGTTCATTGAGGTTTCATTTATGCACAGCTCTTTTTTCTGTAGATGTCTACAGAGTGCTATGAACATATCTACAATAGTGGAAGAGTAGTGCTCTGAACAGACTATCATAGTGAACAGTGTAAGTACGTACTATAACAGAGACTATGCTATGTCACTATAGCAGGACTCAGTGTGAGCATTGACTCAATGCTTTGGTACTCTAAGGAGTTCATATTTGACTCGAGGACACTAAAGTGCCCAGATCCTGTGTCTGCAAAGGAAGGTCAAATCATCAGCCCTCCAAAACCATTACTGACAAGATTTATGAGGTGTTTTGTTGGTTTTTGCCAAACATGACCACTGTGTTTTGTTTAAATTGAACTTTTCCATCGTAAGATTTTTCTTATTAGGGAGAAGATTCTTTCTAATACTAACCCTTTCAGTCAAGCCAAACACTTGAGCGGGTGCACAAATGTCTGACAATGTACAATTACTACAACAGAAAAGTAACTAAAGTTCATTTAGTTCAGTTTTGAATAAGCAGCTGTTTATCCTTATTACAAATATAAGTCCTATCCCCATATGTGCAGGATATCAGCAGTATACTGTATATAAACTGGTCTCATGGCATTTTGTAATATGGTCACAACCTTTAATTCATTGATTCACTTTGCTGGACATGAATATTCAATATTTTTCAAGTTCCTAAACATGAATTTCCCTGAACATGACCTTTCATCAGCCTGCTCTCACATGTACTGATTAAAAGGCAAGGAAACCCTACATTTGGATGTTGGAGGGCTGGAAGGGGAATTAGATGTGTCGACTTTCACACCAGAGAGCGGAGTTTGAGAATGTACATCAGTTTTTCACACATAATTTTTTGTTTTTTAAATATGTTATTAACTATAAATGTGTTACTCGGTTAAGCCATTAAAAACTAACTAAGTTAGGCATTGAACACAAGATGTAGAAAATATTATGGTTTGGATTAACACACAACAGCATCCATGTCTTTTAAACATGTGATCTCCTGGTCACATGCAAGGTCTCACCTCAATGTTTTCTCTAAAAAGACATGAGTAACATATTCATACATAATGTATGTAATCATGTCATGTGATTCAACAAAGGGAAGTTAACTCTGAACTTTGGTTAACAAACAGAATTCCTCTGAAACTTCCTCAAACCAATGAGCACCATATTTCCTGCATGCTGTACGCACTCATGTTTTCCAAAACATTTTTTGTACTACTTAGCTGTGTTGTTTTTGAAGAAGTTGTTGTATCTCATTAATGTAAGTCTCTCAAAGCGTTCACTTGACAGTCTGTTCCTTCTGGGTGTAAGCACAAGATTGCCGAGGCTAAAAAGCCTTTCGACTGGTGCGCTTGATGGTGTGGCTGTGTTGTACCTCAGTGAAATGGCCTTAATCCTGGGAAACTGGCTAAGACCACCCAGCTCAGACCCAGCAGATTTCAAATATTCCATCACCTCTGTTTCAGCAGACTCTGTTTCAGTTGTCCTCCTCAAATGAAAAAAAGTCATAAGTGGAGTCAGCAAGGTTCTTGTGATCTTGAGCAGGTTGTTGGTCTTCAAGAGACAACCCACGGCACTCTGTAGTAAGCATTGCCCTAACCATGTCTTTTTTCTCTTCTTCTCTGATCCAGCGTAACTTAAATTTAGGCAAAGTGACTGCAGCCAGGAGAGCTTCTTTATTGTCCATCATTGAGGAAAAGCGCACCTTGATCGCCTATGAGAAAAAAATACATCAGACACTTCACATAAGAGCATGATAAATAAAACAAAAATTTATTTTAGGGTAAGGCTATATATAGATTACCTTAACAATGATATCAGGGAGGGATGCTGTCAGCTTAAGCTCGTCCTGCAGTGCCAGCGTCCTGGACATTAGAATCTCCAGAGTTGGAAGAAGGATTCCAAAATAGCAGTTCTCTTCTCCTTGCAATATGTCTAGTGCAACAGTGAGTGGCTTCAACACGATACAATACTCCTTTAGGAACAGATACTCCCGATCAGTGAAGCATTTGATTCCAAACTGAGTGCAGACAGTATTTAATTCAGCAAGGGGAATGTCAGTGATCCTGGACAGAGCGTCGTGAAATGAATTCCATCGTGTTGAAACAGGTACTATGAGTTTTTTCTTGAAAAAATTATCTACCAACTCTGAAGCAACAGAAGAACGGTTTGCTTTTGTCCACATTGCAGAACACTTTGAAGTTGCACTTCTGTAGATGAATTTTGCCTCATTTGCTTGAAGCCATTTCTCAACATCATGAAAAATTAAGTTCAGTGTGTGTGATGCACACCTTAAGTGTGGAGGGAGAGAAAACTGTCCTTCAGATTCTGTGGAGAGGGTCTGCTCAACATCAGTAAATGTCACCTCTTCATCTTCTTCCGATTCCTCATCAGAGTCTGATTTTTGGAACATTCTAAAAGCTTTGATAAAATTGGACCCGTTGTCTGTCACGGTGGCTGTCACTTTAGAGTTCAGTCCATAAGCCGAATGTACTTGCTCGATTTCATTGCCGATGACATCATATGTGTGTCTCCCTCGAACTCTTTTACATGCTAGCGCTGCATGTCCTCGTACAAAAGTAGAAGGATCAATCCAGTGTGCCGTCATTCCGAGAAAACTTTTGTTATGGCTGGTCCAAATGTCAGCAGTCGTGGAAATATATTCCAAACTCTCGAATGTCTCTTTAAGCTCCATTTCCATGTCAGCATAACACTTATCTAAGTAAGTAGAAAACGTTTTTCGATCATGCAGTGCTGCTTTTTTGCCACACACAGGTATTTTGTTTAATATGCACCTAAAAGACGGAGACTCTACAGTACGCAGCGGTAGCATCTCTTCCACAACGTAGCCTGCAATCATTTTCTTAAGCTCACCTTCAGACACTTTCTGTGTTGCTGAAGTGAAATCAAGTTTCGTCTGCTTAGCAGGAGTTGCCGCGGTGTTATCCATGGATGATGAAGATGGCTCACTCAGAAGGCTTTGTCTGTGCTGCCGTGTCAGGTGCTTCAGCAGATTACTCGTGCTATTGACAGCGGACGATAATTTTTTCTCCCCAGGACATAGCTTACATATTACTGTAATGTTCTTGTCTGCTTGTTTTAGAAAAGTGAAGTGACAGGAATATTTCATAAAACAGGCCCTCGCTTCAGCCGAGTCCGACATCTTCCGCTGTAGAATACGACTATGCGGCAAACTGGCGCGAAATGATGTACAGCTGCACTACAGCGATGTTAAAGCGGCAGAGGTTTTTTTTACCTTTAGAAGATAAATTATTGAAATTAAATAATGATTTTCAGCGAGTTTAGTTATTTTACAATGTAACGCAAGTACATTGTAAGTAACTGTATTTAAAATACCTAAAAATGAACAGTAATTGGTTACTCTACTTTTTCAGTGGAAAAGTAATTTAAATACAGTAACAGTAACGCGTTACTTAGTAACGCGTTACACCCAACACTGCGCATGACTAACGATCATGTTGTTTCATCTGGTCACGCAGCTCTCAGTTTTTGTAACCTGGAATGTTGTACCACTGCAGCTAGGTGGAAGACACAAGTGTATGGTCATGTTGGTTTTTGCCATTATTATATTGTGCTATCAGTACAGAAGCTCAGAGATTTGCTGCAACAGTTTGAAAACTTTACAAGAAAAAATCTAAAGACTGGACTTCTTCTCCTTCATTGCCAGCGCTGATGTGCTTTGTGTGAGTGGTGACACCTATAATTCAGGAGAGTACTGCAGCAGATATTAATATTGCTGTGATTGGCATTGAGCTGTGTAAAAAGACCACAAAGGACCCAAAGGCAGGCAGGATGTCTTCTCCTAAAAGAACATTTCCAGTCTGGGTTTCACTGTGATTGTTTACAGAAGTCATGACTTCATTGTCTACTTATCTGAATATGTTTCTGAATCATTGAAGTTTTACGTTATGGCAGCTCTCTTATTTGACTTGTTTTCTTTTTCTTTGATCACAGGTGAAGCATTATGTTCTTGAGATGTTCAGGATCGTATAAACCCATTTACTCTAGTTTCCACGTGTTAATAGGCTCATCCTATCCCCATACATTTATCTCAACATATCAAGTGCTATTTAAGGAGGATCATCTCAATTATCCCATTAATCTTCAAACTGCAGCTGCAATGTATCCTATTTCAAGATATCAAGTCCTCTTTTGTGATTGTAATTACATCTGTTAAATATTTTGAGAAACAGAGCAATAAAGAAATTACACCCTATTTATTAATTGCTTTGGTTGAAAGAAGAGAATTTTATATGCTACTGACTAGCTTTGATTCAATTAATGGTGCGTGGCTGTAATGTTTGCTAACATTCTTAGATCAAAATATTCTTTGACATCTTGATCTGCTGTTGGAACTATGTTACAGACAAGTATTACTAACACTCACTTACTAAGCTTTAATGAGCATGCAGCAGTGCAGCTACTTTCGTAAATATTCAGTGCTGTGAAGAGAAGCATTACTTATAGTCAGTAGGAGCTAAAATAGATACTGGTTTCCATGAAGTTATGGAACACCAGGAAATGAATGTAGGCCCAAAAAACGAAGAAATTCATTAAAATTCTCACAGACTGTGTCCGTCTGGGTTGGTATGCGTGTTTGGTTTAAACGTGTCAGTTATCACCCAAACATCTTTCGTGTTTATCTGAAGTCTAAAGATGAAAGATCTCATATCTAAGGAAACTTTTCTCTACAAACAAACTCTGACTGCAGTAAACTCTGATGCTCCACTGCTGGTGAACATCTACCTGCTGCTGCCTTCTGAACTCCAAACAAGTGTCAGAGCACGCCTATGTGTCGTCCTCCCTCACCCTGATTTCCCCCGGCGAGGCAGTCAGCCTATTTGGAGTCTCAGGTCGCTGCTCTGGCCTTTCAGCACCGGACCCTCGCTGGGTAAGAAGCGGGTCCCTGCGGCTGTCAGCCTGCCCTCAAAGGAGCCACCGGTGACCACGGCAAAGCCCACTCGGACTAATGAGTTCCCTGGGTACAAGCAGCCAGCAGGATGGCGCTCAGGCTGCAGCTCGCTGACTCAGTCCTGTCCTGTCTGTAATGTGCTGTAAGCTCCTCTTTAACATGATGCAACTGCTGTGCTCTGCAGGCAAACAACACTGAAGTAGATTTTAGTCATTGCGATGCCTTGAAACACAAACAAGCAAGACGAATCAGGGATTCATCTTCAGTGTGACCTCTGCCTTTCTCATTTTATATCGTATAAAGAACATTTCTTTCTGAACATTTCTTGGAATACTTTACCCTGTGATGCACCGACAAGCCTGAAGGACGATGTCCATGACAGAATCTCAGGCTGCACATTTGTCAACACACACACACTGACTGTCATCCACCAGCTTATTAACTATACAGCTTCAAGAACTTACATCTAACCAGTGTGCTAGTTTAGGTGGCCGTTGTTACCTTTGGAGAAAGCTGGCTGCTGCTACATATACCTTCATAGCTTCCTTGCACACATGACAATAATATCAAAATTTACTTAAAACATGTAAATCTAAAACTCAAACCAATGCTAAAAAACTTTATTCTAGTTACATTGAAATGTCGTCAAATGTTGGTATGGCAGCCGGACACGTTTTATAATTATCAATACAGCAGTGCAGAAAAAAACAGAGCATCCGCTAAGTGCTAAAATGTGGTTCAGGTATTCTCTTTTTCTCTTAGGTTTCATGGCACATGGCTCCCAACATTTTGTTCATATTATACTCAATGTATTTTGAGACGTGGTCTGACTCACTCAGTGAGCAAAGTTACCCTCATTAAATCCATAAGTGCGAGTTTATTGTCTGCATTTAACCTGTCTGAAGTATACAAATCAGTTAGAAGGCAGAGAAGTGTACCGAGGGCATTGTGCCAGCTAGCCTCTCCATCATTAGCATTGGTGAGTGGGCATATTTTAACCCAAGCCGTGACCCTTACCTAAACCTAATACAAGTTTTATAAAGCCTTCAGGAAGAAAATCCTAAAGGGAAACTTCTCGCGCTTTACTGGTGCCCAGTGTTTTGATTTAATTTCCTTCTGCTTTATGCTTACAGTAGCACCAGCATGTGTGTTTTTCCTGATCCAGACACAGATCACAGCTGTGACACAATGCTGGAGCTAAAGGGCTTCACCTTTAAAATTAAGTCCTTAGTACAAGGCTCGTTTAAGTGGGGTCATTTTTTCTTTTTTTTATTATTTTTTCCAATGAATAGATCATTTCCACAATTGAGAAGCTTGGATAAATTAATTGTTATTTTATTAAGAGACTATTGTTTTATTTTAAAGGTCTTTTAATGCACAGCGTGGTTTATTTTAAAAGAAACAATCAAATGTTTATTTGTGCAAACATTTTTAATCAGGTGGGGGTTTTTTTTGTTTTGGAAGTTTTTTAAACTCAAACTAAAATCACTTCCCCAGGACAAACAGTCTATGGAGGAGCTGGTTGGTGTTTAGTTCAGAAAAACAGGTGAAACTTCAGAAAGTTGGATGGATGGCTGACCCCTGGGAGCAAACTGCAGCAGATCTTTCTGTTCAACACATCTCTTAATGTTGACCTTTTCAAAAAAGCCCATTCCCATGGTGGGTTCCTGACAAATGTCAGTCTGTGACACGAAATGACAACTTTTCTTGCTTACACCTTGCATTTCAACTCCTGGGGCAGTTTTTTTCCCCATCTTCTGCTCCATGGCCGTACATGTTTTCAAAATGGAGATGGACAGCAGCAGGGGTGGGTGGAATCAACATGAAGGTCAGCACCTCACCTCTGGCTCCAAGCAAACGGTGTCAAGGAGATGATGTGGCCACAACTGTGTCATTAATTCCCATGAAAATCACAGGTTGGCAGGGAGGCTGACATCTCTGCCTCCCTCACCCCCCACACCCCACCCACAGACAATTACAGGTCACCCAGGCTCAACGCCATGTTGCTGTTGTCTGCGGAAATTGCAAGCTGTTGCTTAAGAGCCCGAGAGAGTGACTTTAATTAAAGGCTGCAGTGACCGACTGCTGCTGGCAATCAGCAGACGCCTGCTCTACCTGCTGGCTTGTCTGTCTACTATTTCCCCCTCTCTCCTGTCCCCAAGGCACCTATCCACTTCTGATCTCAGCTCTGCGTCTGCTCTTATAACCGGGACTATTTTAAGTTTCCGCTAAAAGTTAGCAACTGCTAAAGCTGTCAGCTTCAGCCAGTCAGTTCGTCTGGTTCCCACTGGAAGATATGTGCATTGGGTATTCAGCCTACTCTCACTCCCAGCTCATCACATTTGGACCTTTATTCAAAACCCTGGAGATTTTTTAATGCAAACCGTGATCTTTTACTAAAGCTAACCAAGATGCTTGGGTTTCTAAATTTAACCAGCTAGTTTTAGTGTCTGAATGTAACTAGACACCAGCTTCTGTGTGCGTCACGACACAGATGCCAGAGAAAACTCTTTTTGTGTATCTATGAGATGAAGGGGTGTTGTCAAAGATTATGTACTCGATGACTTGGGATTGAGAACAGGTTGGATACCGATTTAAAATAAATACTGGTATATGAAAAAACACAAGTCAAGTAGCTGAATGAAGGACTTTATAAAATTAAAGAGTATTGTCCTCTGTAAAGATGTGCTAGAGAACGTTGCATTTGTATACTTTGTGTCGGGCATTAAATCTTGAAGGATAACAGATAACACAACAATTTGTGTTAAGTTTGTAAATCCGTTCCATACAAGTGGAACCTTTGGAATGAGTGTAAGCTCAGGATGTTTGTGAACTCAATGGAGGTCATGATCTTGGGACCAAATTTTAAACTAAAGTAACCTGTAACACAGCCAGGTGATGCTGTTTCACTCAGGATACTATAATTTTGTATCTTAAGCTTCATCGGTCTACAAAGTTACTGACTGCAGAATCTCATATTTGGACTCATAAACACTGGTCGTTCACATATATGGTTAACAACTTGAGAACATGCACACTGAGTTTGGATCTTTTTATTGTATAGTACTAAATACTTGACCGTGCACATAGCAGTCTTCTTAAAGAAAAGCTCTATCTTGAAACTAAAATGTTTGAGATGACCTATGAGTCAGTCATGTTGCCCTTTGTGAGCGCTGGTTCTCGCTAATGCCAATGTACCCAAACTGGAGCAAATGCTTCCAGACAGGTTCCAACAACCGGTGGACAGATTTCACTCAGAAGCCTGGACGTT